CCAAAATGGTGAAATTTATTATGTTTTATGTAAAAAATTATCTCTAAAAGTATTATTGTTCGTGTAATTACATTTTAAAAGAATTCAAGAATCATTTAAACCCCACTGCGTATAAGTATTTAGTTTTTTTTTTTTCTTTTTCTTCCAAAGAAATTATAGTTATATTTAAAAAAAAAAAAAAAAAAAGCTTTCGGGCTGAAGCCCCCCTCCCAAAATGAAATCCTGGATCCGCTAGTAACTTATATTAATTATTATCTTCTTTCGCACATATGTGGTATCTTGTATACTTTACGAGATATTCCTACTCATAATTTTTATCTTGCTTTTTTTATCTTGATTTGGCTAGCTAACTCCTTGTCTTTTGCAGAAAAACCGGTCTACGTTTAATCTTTATATATGATATACCAAAATATGAGTTTACATACCTATTTTATATAGATATATTATGTAATTTAAATATTGTATATATGATAAGAAACCGCTCGATGCTTCCGATTACTTCAGCACTTACTAGACAAACCCCCTAAGCTACCATTTAATAACAAAAGACTCATATAAATGACTATAATAAGGCCTATTTGGACATTTGGAGTTTAACTTTAGGGCTAAACTAAATCACCGAATTCATCTCGTATCCAATCCTTACAATCAAAATCCTCAATACTCCTAACTTTGTTACAAATTAAATCATATGTAACGACATTAATCTTCCACAAGTTTCCGATTTGGTCCAATCAAGATACCAATCCTTCTAAAAGAAACTTCAGGACCATCCTACTCCTATCGTTTCTCAATACCTCTTCGATACCTGATAACTTCTCGAGATGTCTGGAAAGAAGATGGCTTCATGATCCCCTAATTTAGAAACTTTATTAGAGTGATTTTAATGGGTAGTTTCTCTGCAAGTATTTTCATGCTATTGTATTTCTCTGTATCACTTAACAATACTAGACAAACGCTCTAAACTTCCAACTAATTACAAAAGATTCATAAACATGACTATAATAAGGGATATTTGGACTTTCGGAGATGAGCTATGCGCCTCCACTAAACCACTAACCTCCACTATCCCATCCTTACAATCCAAAATCCTTCGTAAAATCCTCAATGCTCCCTACTTTGTTACAAATAAAACCATCCATAATGAACATGTTTCAGATCTGGTCCAACCCAGATACTTATCCTTTCATAATAAACTTCAGAATCATCCCAACCCTCTCGTTTATAACCTTGCTCCCTCTTTAATTCCTGAACACTCCGAGGCGCCTGAAAAGAAGATGGCCGAGCGATCCCCTAATGTAGACATATCATTAAAGGACTACCATTGGGTATTTTCTTAGCAAGTGTTTTCACGTCATTATATCAATATATTCAAATATACTAAAAGTATTTCTTTAATGTAGTTGTAAATATCATTAAGTAAAAAAAAAAAGTTTATTTTTATACAGTTGTGTAAAATAAATATCTGTTGCCCGGAAGTAAAGAACTCCATGTCCATTTTTTTATTAAATAATTTAGTAGCTAAGAAACAGCTCAAAGTTATTGAAAATTGGCTTCTCGACCAATTACAAAAATGTGACATGGCGTCCTGTACCTCGTGGGTACATATTAATGAATTATTTAATATTTATGCAAATGCAAAACATAAAAGTTGTACCTTGTTTTTACATACAAGATATAAAAATTTAGTATTCAAAATTTACGGCCGAACAATATTTAGAAATTTGGCAACTGTAGCTATTTCACAATGATCACTTTTCGTGAGGAGTATGGTGGGATGTGAATATCGAGACCAACACTTGGCAAGTTTTCTAGTTCGCATGCCCTGTGGTAGAGATTTAATGGTTCTTTTTCTTCGTGTTGATGGGGTGAGGAAATTCTGTAATTCAGGTTCCTACGAACTGCACAATCCAACACCCAAAATTAAAAAGCGACCATTGTGACAGACGGAAATCTTCTTAAACTTATTCGGAATAGAGGTTCCTTGATATCTCTCATTTTCGAGAGTACGCTAATTTTGTTAGCTGTGAACATTTTGGGTGAAGCACAGTAGCCAAAATACATTTTTTTTCTTTTTTTTTAACCTACAGTTTATCCCTATGAAGTCCGTTTTTTTGGAACAACTTGTCACGATTTTGGAACTTTCGACTAAGTTTAAAAATATTAATAACTATACTAAACTTCACGGTTTACTACAGGATTACTTTAAGTCAATCTTGTTTTAATTTATTTTTTTGTTTAAATAGAACTCAATAATAACTAAAAAGAGACAATAACGTAAATAAATGACTATTTACTTACTATCCCATTCATGACGGTAAAAGAATTACTTGCAATCATGCATCCTTTATTTGTGATTAAAAATAGGTTTATAAGCATATTTCCAAATTTCATGCAGACAAAAAAAAAAAGCAGAATATTCCACATAATATGCAATCAAAATCCTTAAAATATGCAACGAAAAATCTTCTAATACGCAATAAGGTGGCTAAAATAATCAACTACACCACAAGTGGGGAGCTTGCGACCTTCATTAATGTAACGCTGGAATAGTTTTATATTTAATTATTTAGGTTAAAATAAAATTGAATACTAATAGAATTAAGTTGAATTTATCTATGAGTGTGTGTATATACACATAAATAAAAATATAAAGAATTATTGCGGCCTCCATTAGCACTTCCTTAACCTACAGCGGTCTCTTAATGATAAAAAAGAAATTGGGGGACGGATAAAAAATTCGATGGAAAGTTTTTGAATTTTTTTCCCATAAACCAACCTAATTAATACATAATGATACAAACAAATGAACAGGACATAAAAAATGATTAATGATTTAAAACATATGAATCTTTTTAAAAGCTAAAATATCAAACTAATACAAGCTTGCATTTCAGCAAAAACATTTTCTCACACCATCAGGAAACATACTAACTTCATTTGCACAGTCAATTAGCTGATTTAAAATTTAATTTATGACATTAATATAAATATGTTAATTAATAATGTAGTAATGTAAATTATTAAGATAAATATTTCCTTTAACATATAAAACAACTAGAAACCCTATTAAAAATAAATTATACAATTAGTAACATTATAGAACTCTTTGAGGGAGTCATGCGGGCTTTTTTTTCAGTTTTAGTGAATTAGATTCGATATCTATCTATCTATCTATATATATATATATATATATATATATATATATTTTTCTGTCGTGCTCTTTCTCTTTGTTAATTGTACATTAAATCCAATGGTTGAGCCATCATTTTAAAAATTATCTACTCCTTAAGAACCTCTGGAGCAGAGATCTGCTGCATTGACAAGAGTGGCGGTTAAGGAGCGCCTTCACTGGGAGATTTCTCCAAACACACATTCACGCTAATCGCGGAGAGAAAGTTTCCTAATGAATATCACATTTATTAAATATGCCAAAAGGCATTTGTAAAATTGATCAATAAATAAATTTATTATTATTCTCCTTAAGATAAGAAATTAAGCACGCCATACAGAAGTGTAAAGAAAATATGTTATAATAAAACATTAAAAGCTCCTTTAAGCTAATAATTTTTCTCCCAATATTATCAACATACTTATCAAAGACCACAAAAATCGCTGACAAAAATTGTATATTGGTGAAACCAAAAATCTTCAGTCACCTTCATCACTTTATTTCATAACTTCCTAAGTTTGTTCCGTAAGTTCCTAGATTTGTTACCGTTATTTTATATATCATCCATTAATCAATTTAATTCTAAAAATCAAACCGTTATTTTTTTATTGCATTGTTACTTTCATTAATTTGTTACCGTTATTTTATTATTCTTTACTTCATAACTTTATTATAACATCTTAAGTTGGTTTCATTATTGTGTAAGTCTTTAACTTTGTTACCGTTATCTTATATATCCTAACTTTTCTAAAACTATTTTCAAGACCTTGTTATCTTATTGTTACTTTGAACTTCCATAATTTTTACAATATATCATCTTTTTTATCATTGCTCAATATTTATATTATATGCTATTATGACGGTAATTAGTGCTGATGAAGATCTAAAACATACCGAAACGTTTGCACAAAGGAAATAAAAATTAATATATTTATTTTTAATTTGTATTCCAACTGAACACTCCAACCAACTCCTCTTTAATTATTTACTAAAGTCTACCATCTACCCGATATCAAACAGAAACTTCATTTGCGCATAACTGAAAGTATACAATTTATGGTTGATTAAACCCATGAAAATTGGAAAGTTTCCTAAATACCCAACAAAAAGAAATAAAAAAATATGAAAATAGAACCATTATTAGCAAAGGTACATCCTATTCTAATTTGTACAATTTTATTGGTTTATTGTTCTGAATAATTCATTGTAATCGACTGAAAAGAAAATTAATTTTATTGCATTGCACGTGCTAATCAGTAACTGCTAATAAAATTATGAAACAAATTTTTTTTTGGATAAATAAATAAAGGATTTAATATAACATTATCCACAATTTTTTTATTTTGTTTACCCAATAAGGTTGATCTCTAAACTTATTGGCTCCCGGGCCACATTGAGGCTTCCACCAATATGTAGCGCGAGCCGTATTGAGATCTTTTCCCAGGGCCTTAGCTTGCAATAAAAAAAAAAATCTTGTTCTATAAATGACATTACAGCTGTGTGGAATGAGTATTTTAAGGGAACAAACTCGCAGAATTTCCTATTTTTTATCTTATTTTAAAATTGTCTATGTAATCACAAAAACTTTCGCGGGGCGGTCTGGAGGTATTCGCAAGCCGCATCCGCTCCGCGGGCCTTTGTTTCGAGACCCCCTGCTATATTCACTATTGTTAACGCATCTTTGAATTCACTATAAGTCTCATTAATATCTTATTATATTAATAATAGTTTATTATAAAACGCTTTAATATCACAGATTTGATAGTGGTTAAAATCGGATTAATCCGGACAATTAAAAGTCATATATTTGTTTAAAATATTTTATATTTTAAAAGACAACTTCTGATCCAAGAGGACGATCCTGGTTGAGCCCAGTCAATACAATATCTGCAACAAAAACCGGAGGAGTCCTTCCGTGAATTCTACCTTTGAAAGGTTTCTTTCTCAGCTTCTGGAATTTTTTTTGTAGCTTTGCCTTGTCATGTTTAAAACTGATATGATTTCTTTTGAACAGCTTAACTCGACTTGAAACTGTCATTACTAGAATAGAAAAATGATGATATAGATCTTTACGGAATAAAAAAAAAAACTGTTAATAATTAAATACGATGAATAATTTTCAAGAACATATCATTTCCGAATATTAATTCAATTAGATGCTTTCCTAAATGTATACTGCAACTTAAGTTATTACTTAGTTTCAAAGGTTTTATCAATATTTATATGAGAAATACTTGGAGATGACGTGAGCCGTCTACTAACAAAAACATACTACAAATTCTAAATTAGTTAAAAAATAAAAAAAAACTGAAAAGAGTTCGCTATTTGTATAATAAATTGGTTACTAGTCGGTCCGTATTGTTTGTAGCCTTCTGGTTTATAGTACTTATAAACTTTTTAGAACTGGGTACAAAGTGTAGAAATTTTAAGGATGGAAAATGATGAGAAAGTGCATTGAAAAATTTCTTTATTGAGTATGCTAACATTTCGTAAACCCAATACATAATTTTAGACGTTTTAATATTTCTTTTTTAATAGCCTTTAAATGAGGTTACCGTAAACGCTTAATTTATTTCGGCTTCAAACCATTGGTAATTGTTAAGAAACTATTTATAGTTATTAATCTTTATTTCTATACGTTATTTTTAATATTCATTAGTTTTTATTTATATAAGTTGTTTTTGCACATTTCTTATTTATTGAGTTGTATCATTTATACTAATTATTTGGTTTATCTATTTTTACTTCTGACAATAGTTATCTTTGTTATTCATAAGGCAAAAACATTTTCTTAGCACATTGCAATGTTTTGATTATTATTAATAAGTTATAAAGCCGTTATCAAATTTGTACGTTCCACCTTTTTCTTCTCTTATACTCATATACTCTTTATGTATTTTTTTTAATTTTCAGCTCTAATGATGAATTATATGTTTGAGTTTAAACGTCGGTGAACTCAATAAACACATTTTGAAAGCACATACTGGCCATTTTTCAACCCTTATTTTACTTTTTAGTTAATATTTACTATAGTCAAATCGTTCATCGGTGAAACAATGACAACTACAAATCATACAATTATAGAAGAACCAAAATAATTAAAATCATGGTATGAATAATTTTTTTAATTGATTTTACAAGTGTAAAATTTTTCTGTTCATTTATAGTTTTCTCATATTATACTGCGATCTTGATTTTATTTGACACATCTTCCTGAAAGTTTAACGTGATAAAACATTGGTCCAAAATTTTACCATTGCCTCGCTGTTCCGCAGTATGAGGAATATGAGATTTTAAAAAAATGTATGGTAAGTCGGTTTATAACAAAGAATAAAATGAGTATTCATTAATTTTACTTATTTATTTTTGATTTTTTTTTCATTATCTTCTCTAAAATCATAAATGAAATATTAACAACTTATTTTAACGAGCAAGATTATTTAGATCCACATAAATCAGTATTCAGCATTATCGAAAGCAAATATAATTGCCATTATAAGTTTTAAGTCAAAATGTTACTAAATTAAACAGATTATAAAGTAAGTATAACTGTTATATATATATATATATATATATATATATATATATATATATATATATATATTAAAAAATAAAATAAGATTAAAACAGGAATATAAAGAAAATGGGAATTGTTATCAATGCTGATAACACGAAATTTTGTCATCCAGTTCTGATGAATAAGGAGTGAACCCTGGGGAGCTATTGAAAGGATACCATGGCTTTAGAATCCAATAAGATAGGTCGGCGATATAGAAATAAAAATAAAAATATCAGAAGGTAGGAAAATTATATCAGTGTTTAACATAATATTATAGTCTACTAGAAATTCAACTCCTAAAACCAAAAATACATATTAATTTATAGTATTTATAGACAGACGGAGTAAATATCTAGATTTTAAAGGTGGAGAAACTTCTGACAAAGGAAACGAATTACTGGCGACGATCGGCAAGAATAACCAGAATAGGTAAAGTGAGAAACAAAAAAAAATCGAGAAAAGATAGAGAAAAAAAAAACAATTCTTCAAAACATCCAATAAAAATCTTCCATGTGGTGTGGGAGTTATAAATGACTGAAGGAAGAATGCCAAAGGAAGTTTACTTTAGAAAAATTGTAGAAGACGAGATCGAACAGGAAAAAGGTGGAATGAGGAAACAGAAGATTCTAGAATGAAGCATGGTTTGCAAGAGGAATGAAAGTATAGAATAATAAAATGCGGGAGGAGGCCTTAGAAAATTTATAGATTAAGGAAACGCTGAGTTTTAAGGAAAATTCAAAATAATAAAAATTAAATTTAAGCGCTAATGACACCTAAAAAACAAAACAAAATAGGCAATTGCTATTGATTCTGTGTAATCTATATATTACGTAGAATGTGATGAAATGCATCCTACCTCGGGTAAATATTACATAACAAAATGCGGCCAAAATAATTTCATATTCAGTCATATTTGGTGTTTTAACAAATTGTAGTTTTATATCAAAAGTATTATAAACAGTCTCAGCCTTAGGCACGAACCTAATTGCATTTAATTATGCCTGTTAACCTACAAAATTGAAGTCTGAAAAACATTCCTATCGATGAATTCATTGCTTTTATTTCCAAACAAACGTGAATTTCTGAATAAAAAAAAACATTAATGGGATTTTTGTATGAATATTAGGCTAAAGGCCCAGATGCTATTTACTATATTGTATTTTCAGTTAATACTGAAAGCTAAAAATTAGCACTTTAAAGAATTTGATTAATTTTCATAGAACCCAACTCAAGGAACAACAAGGAAATATAGAAAAATTGAACTCCACGTAAAACTTCAAAACTGAAATCGAGAAATGAAGAAGTCATAGTCATCCGCGAAGCGATTCTCAGCCCTTTCCGCATCAGACGATGTGGATTTTACTTCTGCGAGCTTTGGAAGACTCAAGGTTTACCAGTTACCAAACTGTCAGAACAATAAAGCACGATTTACTTGAATGTAGTAACTCCTCTGCTTTAAGCCAAGACTTAAAGATGGGTACAACAATGGAAGAAATCCTACAGGAAGACGGAGAGTAAATAAATTAACTGTATGATGCCTCAAGAAAGAAAGTGGCAGAATGAATAAATAAATTTACATATTTTTACTTTTATGCGGAGTAAAACTAAGCTTGAGTTTCTGGTTCCTGAATTTTAAGATTAGCTGGTTTAATGAGATACATAGCTTCGAATAAAATATTATATTATTATAATTGTTAACACGAATATCCTATGGTCAAATAATAATAAATTAAATAAAGAAATTATCAAACTTGTGTACATATACAACTCAAAAACAGTATCGAACCAATTTACATTGGATAGATGGACTTCAGAAAAAAATGATTGAACATTATTAAAATATTATACCAAAACTTGAATCTAACTTAACTTAAAATAAAAAATCGAGTTTTAAGTATGTGACTAAACTTAACATAGGTTTTAAATATAATTTTTACTTGAATCAGTTGAAGACAATGTGAACTCTTTTATATCTAATCAATTGAACAATTATGACGTACATAAATAAAAAGCAGTTCTATCTTTTCGCTAGATGTCTACCAAAAACGATAGTTTGTAACGTATTTTGTCCCTTTAACTGATATATGTCTAAAGTGAAAAAAAAAATATGAATTATTTAAAAATCCAGTTAAAAGGACGGATGTTAAGCGGATAAATCTAATACATTCCTGGAATGATTAAAGCTATTTTATAACAGATTGGTTTGACATTGAACACCACTATATGATGATGGTGAAACATTAATGGGATAGCAATATATTAGTAATATATTTCTATCTGTTATCTTAATTTTGTTTACCCTCAATAGAATCAGTCGCTTCATTTTGTTCGTCCTTACTTTTCGCAGTACTACTAAGGATGTTTGTAAGTAAGTCCTTTTGAAAAGTAAGGATGAAATATTAGTAGTTAAAAATTGACACTCCTACTCCTAGAGAAAAAACCCAAAAGAATAACTGATAATGGTATCTAAAGAAGGAGTTTAAAAGTGATATTTACAATATTTAACGTTAGTTAAGGAAAAAAACCAACCTGTGTGATCGTGGAGTGCTCTGCTCGGAGGTTCGGCAAGGCCATAGAGTCCTGAGAACTCGGCCTCCGTCTTGGGCCTCTTGTCAAGGGGATGGTCTTCCACCAGACCAAGAAGACCCAGGTTAGGCCTCAATTCGTCCATCAACTTCCCCCCTTGGGAGGTAGAAAAGCCTCCAAGCTGGCGGCTAAAGATAGCCGGGAAAATGAACTGCCCTCCTCCGCCTCCTTCGGACGAACTTGTCACCGTCGGCACCGCCGTCTCGGAGCACGTTTTGAACTCCATCGCATTTATACGGCACCGTGGCGGTCAAGAAATTAGGCTAACCGTTAGGATTATAAGGACCGGACTTGCTTACTGTAGCCGATATAAACAAACTAAACAAGTGATGTTCTATATGATAGTTTAGTTAGGGTAAGGCGGAGACCTCCGAACGAGGGCAGACATGACGACAAACGAAAAGTGACTAACTAAGTTAGCTGGAAGAGAGAGGAGGGGTGGAGGGGTGGCGAGCCTGCGCTGGGGTCGCCCTTGGCAACCGCCCCACCACCGCCCCCTCCCAGCCTAGCTGCCATTAGCCGGGACGCTTATCTTCTTAGTTTTGCTATTGTTTCCATCCATTAAGCATATACACATTAATGTAGCAAATTATTTAGTCTCTTTTAGCAACAACTGAGCATAATTGCAAGATAAAAGAGGCTACAAATCGCTCGTAGAGCCCCAGACCTCGACCCAGCTGTTGAGTAAATCGATTTGCTGTAATATAATTTTATTCCCTTACTCCAGCTCATTCAAATCTCGTTACTATTGGGGGATTATCAACATAACTACTAATCATACCCAACCTAACATCATTATTACTCAATACTTATTTCATTTATAGTTCGTCCTCCGCACCAACTTTAGTTAGGTTTATAGTTACAGGACGAAAAGGATTTTTTATTGTATTTCCAAGTCCAGTCTAATGGACCCAATATTGTAATTTGCATTCATAAATATGCCAAGAGTATCATAAAAAAGTTATTAATTCATTATTGAACCAAGTTAGTGGACTGTTTTACATATCATGGGTGATAGATATTCAGGACGCAATCAATATAATTTCTTCATTGTGATTTCATGGATAAACAAATGTGAACACTTAAATAAACTAAAAGAAGCGTTAAAATACAAAAATATTAAAAAATGAAACAGACCACGGAAATAACCCTATCCATCCTCATGTACTTCGTGTTCATGTACCTAATACAACTTCACTGCATGCCTTGATTATGACCTGCAAGCCTGGGTAGAAACGTCTACATATAAAAATTGACTGTGTCCTGAATATCTATCACCTATCAACTCATCAATAAAACATTCCTTGTTTGAATGAAATTACAAAAATGAAAATAATTATCCACTGGCCACTCTTGGTGAATTTTAGCAGATATTTTTTATTTGATGAAAAGCCAAAAGGGAAGGAATCACTCGTAAGGGAATGGTGATGAAAAGAAACATCCTGGGAGATGAAACTTTGTAGAAAAAATTACAGAAACAGAAGAAAAAAAGTGCTGGTTGGGTGACAGAATGCATTGTTTATTTGGAGTTTCAGAAGGAAGGAAATCTAAGGTGGCGAGGATTCTGTTTAAATCTCCAAAGCTAAAGCGGTTAGACTTCTGCCATGCCAACTTGAGTCTTTCCCCTAATTCATTAGTATTACCCTAATTTTTTTTTTTTATTGACGAAAAATAATACAATCTGCCACAATCTAGAGCATTGAGCATTATGGTTGTATGTATACATACATACATTTTATATACGAAAATAATTAAAAATATAAATTGAGGGAAAAAATAAAACAAGAAGAAAACATGCAAGTAAAGGACTTGAATGGAGAAGCTTGTCACTGCAAGAACTCCAATAAAATATTTAGATCTCGGGGCCATTGCCGTTTCAACCTTCGTGCGGGATTATATGGATGGTTGGAGCTGGAAAGGGATTGTGCTAAGGGATTAGGATGATGGATAAGTTTTTGATGAGTTTGAAAATTTGGATGAAATTACTTTAAATTAGGTATCTGTACAAGGTAACACGTATGTTAGGGCGGAGTTCAAAATGGGTTGATACTCGTTTTCCAATTTTATGTGGGATGGGGGTACCAACTAAATACAATTTAATGAACAAATGCCGAGACCTATTCTTACGTTACAACAGCTCAAATTATTCAAGAAAATCTCGCGTATGTTTTGAAACAATCTTAACCAAAATAATAAAATTATATTTTAAATTTTCTCAATTTTTGTTGGTGTCATGTCATTTCTTGTGTGATTTCATAAATAAACAGATGTTATGAATATAAATTTTCCAATACTTAAAAACAAAATTGGTGCGCGCAACACACAATTTTTACTTACTCCACAACTTTGAATAGAAATTATTTTCTGGTCATGTTGGGTTATTAATATTTTTGAATTGCATTTCCAACAGACAGATTGTTATAATACTCAATAAAGAAATTTAAAAAAAAAAAAAAAGAATTGCATTTTTAACTGAGCTAAAGCTAAAAAATTGCAGTTAACAAATCATAAATACTATTAAAATAAGAAAAGTCGTATTTATTATGCTGATTATGGATTGTACGATCCATTGATTATGGATTGCACGATCCGTTGATTGTAAATTGTACGACTATTAAATTGTTATATTCCACTGGAAAGGTTACTAAAACGGAATTAAGAGATTTGTATTGTCTGTCATAGAAAGGTCAAAAGCTGTCACAATGATTGTAAGTGGATTCTGTTGCAATATCGCAAAGGGAAATTTTATCAAATTACTTAAAGTTTACATTTAGTTAATAAATTTCATATACTTTCCTTGAAAGCATGTGGAGTTCTGCGCATGCGTTAACCTTACACATACACTCTTTATTTCGTCTCTTATAAAGTGACTTTATTACCAGTGAAATGATTCACTGTAAACTGTTAAGTTAACAATTAAGTTGAAACTGGACATAAATAAAGCGAGTAATCACTTATTTATAACGGCATTGTGAACAGTGTAAATAGACCTGAGGTTAGTGATAGATAACAAGCCGGCCATATACATTCGCTAATCCGACCAGTGGGCTGCTGCCCTTCGGTGGAGGTGGGTTTATGTCACCTAGACTTCTACAAACTCGCGTAATATATACGTAATTGATAAAAGACATTTTTTTTTGCAAATTATTACATTTACCTCTAATTAAATTAATATGAGATGCGCTATTTTCATATGGTAATGTCCAATGGTCCAATGCAAAGGTAAAAATCCAACTTTATGATCTAGGAGTCTCGATACCACAAAGAGTTCACCTATCAAGAAAAGGGCTAGACGCTCTAAAAAAAAAATACCCCGCCAGCTACACCAGAGAGCTCAGTAGACGAAGTCGAAAATCAACCTGGCACATCAACACAAAATATGTCAACACAAGCTATACCAATACAAGGTACGTTAGAAGAATCTCCCTTTTTTACAGCTAATCCATTTCAAGTGCTGTCAAACACACAGAATGAACAAATGGAAGCAGTACCCACCCTTTGAGAACCTAAACCTCCACCAATATTCGTTAGAAATAAAAAAAAAATTCAATTAATGTGTCTACAATTAAATAATATAGTGGGCTCAGGTAAATACTTATGCCAAAGGCGCACTAATGACACGGAATTAATGCCTGACACCCCAGATACGTACAGAAAAATTGTCAAGTATTTATCTGACACTAAGGCGGATTATCATACATATCAGATACGCCAAGAGAGAGCACTCAGGAGATAATACCCATCAACACCGCTGGATGACATTAAAGAAGAATTAACTGAGAAGGGATTCCGTGTTTGCCAAATAATGAATATATTCAAGGAAGATAGAGAACAGCCTGGCACAAAAAATAAAATACCGCTCCCAGTATTCTTCGTTGACCTTGACCGAACTCCGCAGGTCGAAGACATCTACAAGGTCACACGGCTTTATTACACTAGCGTTGTTGTAGAAAAGCCCTACACTAACCGCGACATTGTACAATGCCATAACTCTCAGGTTTATGGTCATACGAAACGCTATTGCCACCACATTCCTAGATGTGTTAGGTGCAGTGATCAACAAAACAGAGGACTGCCAGAAATCCAGAAGAACACCAGCAGTATGTGCTTTATGCCTTCAAGGGCACCAAGCGAACTACAAAGGTTGCCAAACATATAAGGATCAGAAAGCAAGAACTTATGCAGCTCTAAGAGAAGAACGGTCATCCAGGCCACCAAGACAACCCTCTAGAACTGTAAATAGAAGAGTGTCCTAAGCTCAGATGTTCAAAGGAGACACTGCACCCACACAAACTCAAGCCCTGCCACAAGAACCTCAACCAGGAGTATTCACATCTCAACCTCAAGACCCTTATCCCATCTCTGGACCTAGGCCTAATAACCAGGCATTCATTCCTCCTTCTCCCAATGCCACTGACCTCACAAGCCTATTGACTTCTTTTCTCTCTGAATTCAGGTCACTCACCACTCCTCCACATTTCCTTACTTACCAATGTTGTATCAGACCACATCCCACTGCCGAGAAATCCTTCTTTTTTTTTTTACATGAAACACACTTGTTGCGAAACTACCCATTGGTAGCACTCTAATAATTTGTCTAGATGAGGAGATCACGAGGCCATCTCCTTTTCAGACGCCTCGGAGGGTTATCAGGAATCGAAGAGGAAGCAAGGTTAGAAATAAGAGGATTCGGATAGTTATGAAGTTTATTAAGGAGGGATAGGTATCTGGATTTGGCCAAATCAGAAACATATGGAACATCGAGGTCTTTATGGATTATTTTATTTGTGACAAAGTAAGGAGCATTGAAGATTTTACGAAGGATTTTGGATTGTAAAGATTGGATACGAGAGGAATTTGATGGTTTAGTGGAGCCCCATATCTGAACCCCATAAGTCCAAATAGGTCTTATTATAGTCATGTATATGAGTCGTTTGTAATTCATTGGAAGTTTAGAGCGTTTGTCCAGTAAGTGTTGGAGTAAGCGGAAACGTCAAGCAGTTTCTTGTCGTTTCAGTCTTGTACGAGGATTCAAAGTGAGACGTTTGTCCAGCTGGAGTCCTAGGTATCGGATTTGTTCTACATGGATAAGTGGGGTTTTATTAAAGGATACTATAGGACAACAAGTCATTGGTTTACGACGAAGGGTAAAGGTGATTTGATGGGATTTATTGAAATTTATTTTAATCCACCAGTTTTGACACCATTCTTTAAGGTTTGTGATGT